AAATACACTGAATAAAGCACTCTGCACCACATAGCATTATTTTTATAAGGAATATTTTTTTGTCCCCTAAAATATTCTTTGTTACAGGTAGAGATGGACAGTTTATGTTAAGCACTTAGCTTAAACAATCTGTTTGTATTAGCACTATATACGTTGTGCCATCCAACATTTTGTATGTTTTTGTAAACAGTTCACAAGCAGTACGTTTCTGTGCTGTTTTCTTTAATGTATACATGCCTTGTTTTACTTAGATATTATTAATCATTTTGACAGTTCAGTCTGATTAAACAGTTCACCTGGATTAATCAGTGTTGTTGGACAGCTCTAAAAGAAGCCTGACTGTTAAACAGCTATTGAATGTAATACTATGAATATGTATTTCTCCTTACCTGTGTCTTTTCTACATTTCCATGTTTTTGATGTTGCATGTCATGTTAGGAAAATCAGGATACTGTTTATAGTGTTCAAAATTGAAACGGTGGCTCTCACCATACTATATATACAATACATAATATAACCCAGAAAAAAAGATAACTTGTTCCACATCTCACTCTGTCTTTTGTTCCCCCTCCACTCCCTTTTATTCTCTCCCATCTAATCTCTGGACTCAGGAATCATTGCTAAATACTTTCTGATAGAGGACATTTCTATATTGTTTATTCTTATAATCCATTGTTAATATTTTTATCTCTAGTCTGTGATTTTTGTTTAAACTGCAAAGGATTTGTTCAGTGAATGTTGGCATTATTGAAGAAAGGCATCATTGAAGATACAGCAAAACACATTGTCCACTAACAAGCAGAAGCCTGCAAAAAGTAGGTTTAAACTGCATTCATTGTGGTTGCAAAACTGATGGATCAAATGTTCTGTCAGTTATTTTCTGATAATTTTAATTGACATATGAAGCAAAACAAGACGAGAGTCATTCAGGTATGTCAGGGGTTAGAAAAGGGCCGTAATAATTTACCATGAAAGTAGTATTGTCCCAGTCAGGTAAGACAAAGCTGTTCAGAGTGAGTGTTCTCACTTTTCCCCAGATGGAAGCAAGTTTGTAAGGAGGGTAAAAGACTCATTTTAAATACTAATATAAACTTCTAATACTCTTGGCCTCTTGGTGCCTTAAGTAATTAAAGGCACATCTTGATGGCTAGTCTTTAAAGATCAAATTGCCCACATGAGAGGGTGCACTGGAATGAGTTTGAATTCAGTGAGTGTCCCGATCCACCAAAACGATGTGCTACATCAACTCATTCCAGATATGAAAATGGCTATTGGGAATTCCAGCTTTAATAAATGTGCATCTGGGTGAACAGCTCTATGTGCACAATACAATTTAAAAACTAAAAGGTGCAATTTTGTGTTTTGCATAAGAAGGTATTTTCTTGATTTAGTGGTATTAAATTTCTTTTATGGTGATTAATTTGCTAGTTTCCCTGAAACCATCAGAGGTTTGTTGAAAGGGAGAATCATCTTTATGACACCACAGATTTGCTGTAAGTGAATGTGAGAGTATTCCTTCTGCCACAAGTTTTTTCCAAGTTCCTTGGGGAAGCTTCCTTTGTTAGACTTGCAAAGGATCCCGCTTTTATTGCCCTTAAAAATCTGTTAAATATTCAATCCCTTATATAATTGTTAAGGAATTGGTTTTATGAATAAGGATTCTTAAATTACCGTAGATCTCAGAACTTTGAACACAGCTCTTGCAAGCAATTAGCATTTTTCCCCTTACTTGGTGCTCTAGCATTGAAGTTCCCTTTAGCTGTACAGATACGTCTACCCTTCCTTCAGGAAACATCTTTAGAGGCAAAAAAAGGCCATTTTAATTCCTCTTTGACAGTGTCTGCAGTTCCAGAGGAATTTAGTAAGACCTTACCTTTCAGAAACTCTATTTTCAGCTCTGTGAGCGATTCTAAGTCAGGCTTATCAAAATCTAGAAAACGTACCCTCTGGAGTAGCTTTTAAATGTGTTAATCTGAAGTTGTCTTATCTAGTCAACAAACAAGTTTTAAAACTGATACTACTAAAATAAAGAAATAGCAGTACTTGATAGTGTCAGTCATAGTGTTTCAGTTCAGCAAGGAATTTCTCGTGTGATGTCAGTGTGCATATACAGGCACCTAGCAAAGAACAGACCAAAAGGAGGAAGTGTTAAACTGCTTCACATGGCAATAGCCGTGTTAAAATAATATAAAAGTACTTTCAGTAGTTTTATTTTAGCAATATTTTGTGGCCCTCAGGCTCACTAGTCATTAGCCAAATAGCAAAGCAAAGTTAACGCCTGTATTTTATGTATCTACATTCTCAAGCTGTTAATTTAGTCTAGACTTTACACATATTGCTACTATGTCATGTATATAGCAGCATAGGATGAACAGTTTAAATGCTAATAAAACAGGGCAGTTTAGCACATGTTAATTTGACTGTGTTGAAGTCTAGATCCTCTATATTTTTAAGTTACTTTCTAGACCCAAGTGTAAAGGGCTACCAAGGTGTAAGGGGCCCATTTATGCAGGAGCTGTAATTTACAGGCTAGACTTAAATGGTTTTATGTACCTTACCTCCTGGTTTGGATCTACGTTCACAACTTTCACATTCATTTTTATGTTTTTTGTGGCTGCAGTTGTTAAAAGCTATAAAGAAATCCACACAATACTTCTTTGAATCCCAGAACCTTTCTATTAGAATGTGAGTATGTATGACACACTGTGTAAATTCATTGCTGGACTGCTGGGTGGTGTGCAAAGCATAGCTGGTGACTCCAGGATAGGGAGTCATAGAGGATGAAAAAAGGAGAGGAGAACTGCAGATACAGGTGACTTCCCTATATGTAGGCCACGGTTCACTTTTTTTTTTAGTGTGAAATTGCCACTTACTGTGCATGAGAGCATGAGAGAACAGAGGGAAGAGAGTAGTTGCAATACTCATTAAATGCCATCTATATCCAGTAAGGGCAAACTTCATCATTCGCAATCACTATAACATTGAATGGAACTGTTAAGGAGTTTTTCAAGAGAATATTTAAAACTTTTTTCTAAAGAGACAAGGGCATAAGAAAATAGGTTTACGTGTCTGGGATTTTTTTGTGTGTGTTTTGCTTTTGTAAATGTGGTGTACCAACTAAAGCTGTGCTTTTCTATTATTGGAAGGGAAGGATTCAAAGTATGCTGGTCCTTAGTACGCAGCAATGGTTAATAGATGAATTTTCAGTTATGAAAATGATGTAAATGATTAGCTTTATCTTGATACTCTTGACCTAATCAAAGGGAAGGTGTACTTATGAGGGATGTAATTATTTTGCAACTGGGGGGGAGGGGGGGAAGGCTCCTTAAAATGTTTTTAAAAAATGACAAAATCACAGATAAAATATTTTTCTACAATTCTATACAATCATACTTTATACTAGTTTTCTCAGCATGGCATGTGAGTCAGTCTAGGGTACTGTTCCAGGGAATCAGTGGTATTGTACCTTGTTCTAGACCATTACAATAGCATCTGTTAGATGCTTGGCACAGCTGTCATAGAACTGAAATGCTAGTAAAAAAAAAAAAATTTAAAATTGTACTGAATACTTTAAATGATTGTTTTATTCAGAGTCTGATCTAGGAAATGTTCCAATCATGCTATTAATGTATAACTAGAATTGTTCCAGATGTAACTATGAACAGTTCTGGAAAGATACCATTGCTTGTACTCCTGTCTAATGGCAGGTTTTGTAGTCTTCAAAAGAAATTGAAATTTCTACTATGAATAAACTTTCAAACATCTTAAAGTGCTTTTTTTGGCTCATCATTTGTTTGGCCTGGTTATAAAAGTTCTTGTTTGTTCCCTCACTAACACTGAACTACAGTTGCAGCATACCAAGTGTACATTTCCAACCAGAAAGAGTTTTTAATAAGTAGGTGGTTGTCAGTTAAAATATCACTATATTACAGCATATATAGTCAGATCACTACTAGTAAGGTAAACAGGGAGCCCAAGGAAAAACACTTGTACATGGTAGATGCTATAAACCCACTATATGACACAGCAAGACCGAAGTGCAAGAGTAGTGTATTTTAATACCCTGTGAAGACTCCGGTTGAGTGTAAAGTACAACTTAAAGGGAGGTTGCTAGGTAATACTTGCAATGCCTGCATTGCTCTGGACACTCAAAACACAGACATGTGGGATAATTAACAAACCTTTAAGCATCTGAAAAATGAGAATATATGTGCAAGTACTTCATAAACAACATGCCCACATTTCAGCGGCTCCCACAACTTGGAAGCTTTCAACTTTTTAGCCTTGCAACCTGTAAAGAGATGCAGAATTTTTAAAAGTTTGTGTAGTTTACATGAAGTTACATTAATGGTGGCAGAGAATGCAAGCAGAGGCCTCGCTAAGGGTGCAGCCAGCAGCCTGCGAGCGGGCCCCGGGCACCACACAGTGCCGGAGATGGCGGCCAAGGCAAGAGCGGCCCAGCACAGACCCCAGCTCTGCAGCGGCGCGGCCTGGGAGCCGTCCTGCCTCGCTTAAAATAAAAAATAAATTAAAATGCATCTTCGAGTAAACTGGATGATCTGTAAACGCTGAGGCTCCAGCAAGGGAGGTCGGTAGGACAGGGGATCCTGACGATCCCATCGCACCCGCGCCCTCCCCTCTGCAACCGTTTACCGTTTGCGTTACTAACAGCGGGTTCCAAAAAAATAAACAAACAACAAAAGAACCCCACGAAACAACCCCCGCACTCGACGGTGCCATGACACCGGCCCGCTCCACACGCGCCCCGTCCAGTCGCCTCCTGCAGCCCCTGATTGGCCGCCGCTGCCCGCCCTGCGCGGAGCCCTGGCCAATCGCGCGGCTCCCGCCCATCACCACGCCCGTTGAGGCGCGCGCGCGCCCGTCTGTGCGCGTGTCCCGACACCGCTGCGCCGCCGGGAGCGGGCGGGCTGGGCGGGGAGAGAGGAGATGGAGCGAAGCGCATGCGCAGAGGCGGCGCCCCGCCGGGTACTGGCGAAGGCCGCCCGCGCGCCAGGGGGCGCTGTGGGATCGGATCGGCGCCAGCGGCCGGAACGCACGAGTCAGCCGCAGCCCCGGCCCCGGCCCCGGTCCCGGTCCCGCCGCGCGAGGAGGAGCCGCCGCCGCCGCCGCCTCGCGGGACTCGCGTGAAGCCCCAACCGCCGCCCCTGCCCGCAGCCCCCCCCGCAGCGGAGCGCCCGGCGCCATGCCCAAGAATAAAGGTGAGGCGCCCTACCCCTTCTCCTGCCGTGGCCCAGCCCTCCCGCCGTAGCGAAGAGGCCGGGCCCGGGCGCGGCCCCGCCGGGGAGGCCTGGGGACGCACCCCCCCCCCGCCCGCCGCCGCCCCTCACGTGGGAGCCGCCGCGGCCCGGTGCCGGCGGGCGGGGCGGGGAGGGGGCGGAGGAGCCCTCCCGCCCACCTCGCCGGTTCTGCCGGGCCGCTTCCCCTCTCCCCGCTCCCGGCTCTTCTCGGGCGCGGGGCCCGGCCCGGTCCTAGTCGTACGCGGCGCTGCGGCGTGTGGGAGGCCTCGGGGTGCATGGCCGGCCGTGGGGCTGGGGGGGAGGCTCCGGTGGGGCTTGGCTGTCAGGGGCGGCCCTGCCCAACCGCCCCGCGGGGGAGGCCGCCGAGGAAGCGGCCGGGTGTGCGTGCCCCTCCGTGTACTCGCGGCGGACTGCTGCTTCTCCCTGTGCCCCTACCCCGCCGCTTGAAGGAAAAGAAGAAGAAGTGAGAGGAAGGGAGCAGCAGCTTTTTTAATGAGGGAGAAGTATGACCTGCTCTTCTGCGTTTTTATGGAGAGCAGTTAGCTCTGTCGCCACGTGTGTGCCTGTTAAAAAAGGCATCTTCCATTGGAGCGTAAGCTTCCCCCTGAGTATTGAAGGGATTTCAGCACTATAATAACCCTTCAAGTTATTCTTCTGCTCTTTGGTGGCTACGTGCGTCAAGTTATCCCACCGTTATTTATGACGTATCTGGTAGCAGTGGTCACAAAAACTGAAAATGACAATTTAGAGCTGGGGGCCCCCAACATAAGAAGGACATGGACCTGTTGTAGCAAGTCTAGAGGAGGCCATGAAGATGATTGGGGGCTGGAGCACATCCCCTGTGAGGATAGGCTGAGAGAGTCAGGGTTCTTCAGCACAGAGAAGAGAATGCTTCAGGAGGCCGTATAGCAGCCTTCGAAGGCACCTATAGGAAAGCTGGAGGGGGACTTTTTACAAGGGCATATAAGGATGGGACATGGGGTAATGGCTTTAAAGTGAAAGAGGGTAGATTTAGATTAGATGTAAGGAAGAAATTCTTCACTGTGAGGCTGGTGAGGCACTGGCACGGGTTGCCCAGAGCAGCTGTGGCTGCCCCCTCCCTGGAAGGGTTCAAGGCCAGGCTGGACGGGGCTTTGAGCAACCTGGTCTGGTGGGAGGTGTCCCTGCCCATGGCAGGGGGGTTGGAACTAGATGATCTTTAAGGTCCCTTCCATCCCAAACCATTCGGTGATCTTGTGCAAATCCTTGTTGAAGTCTACTGTCACTCCAGAGCAACCAGGATGTCTTTAATAGTGGAGGCTATAATATTTTAATTGCTATGCTACTACTCAATTAAAAATTTTGAGCTAAAAACATTAAAAGCAAGCAAAAGATCTAGATCTGGATAGGATACTGAGAACAGCCATATAGAGAACAAGCACAGAAATCCCCGTAAGTATGATTATTTCATTCACTGTATTCAGAGATAGTAACATGTGCTCTTTTTCCTCCCTTTTTAATTTAGGCAAAGGAGGTAAAAATAGGCGACGAGGTAAGAATGAGAATGAATCAGAAAAAAGAGAACTGGTGTTCAAGGAAGACGGGCAAGGTGAGTTTTTAACTATGGTATGGCAATGTCATTGTTTTCAGCCAGATACTGTAAGTGACATACATTGGAAGTTAAGACACAAAGAAAACATCTGGACGTCTGAGAAATACGGAATTATTGTGGAATAAAGAGAAGTATTCTCATTGGGGTTGTATTTGAATTCTAAATGACATGTTGAGTGTAGGAGGAAGACATTACAAAAAGGGAAATTTTAAATTGCTTCACCACTGAAGAATGAAGCTTGCTTCTCCTTGACCTTATTGTGGTGCTGTGTGTAATACAGCATGCATTCAACCATTCCCTAGAAGTCCCGTGAGTAGCTTTGCATGAGGGTCTGTAAGCAGCTAGCTTAGCTGATTTAGTTCAGTGTTGCTGGTGTTTGTTGTCTCTTGGATGCACAGTCCCACTTTCTGCTTTACATCAGCTGTAACATTTCTTGGATCCTTCGATGACCTCTCTGAAGTCACTGGCCTGGCAGAACGGTGCATCTCACTGTTCTTCTGCTATCCCCTCATGGTTTGGTTGAACTGGCTCCTGAGTTGGGATGCCCAACAATTACTAAAGCAGGAGCAGTAGGTAAGGTCCTTACTTGGATGTTGTCAGGTAGAGTAAGCCACAGGAGTGCTCAGCTGGAAGGTGATGACCAGGATTCCCCTCTCCCCTGCCTTTTGGTGACCATGAGCTCACCTCCCTTTTGGCTTACCCTGTCTTGTGTGTCGCACTCTTGCAGTTGCTCGCATACATGTGAGTACTTGCTTAGCGACCAATCAGTCAGTTGGTTTGTTAGAAATACAGAAAAAGTACTGACAAATCACTGTAAAAGAAGTGACCACTGAACTCATTTGTTAAGCTCTTTCTCATATTCTGTGACAGTTGTAAGGAAAAAAGGAGTTGATGTTGATGTGCCTATAAAATTTAAAATCCTTTTCAACTCCCAAGTAAAATCTACTTAATGAAACGTTAGTCTCAGTTATTAATAGTCTGGTGTGGTTTGTTGGATTATCTAACTTGTGCTAAGGGAAGATTTTTAGGATATTGAAATACAGCTCTGGCTAATTGAGAAATTATATTTTTTTTCCTGGCGAGTATGAGTAGTCAGATAATGTTATAGTTCTTACAAGCTTTATAATAATGATTTTTATAATTCTTACAAGCTTTATTCTTTTTAGTTAAATGGTAGTACATTATGCTGCAAACTTGAATAGTGTGTGTGGAGTACTTCATAGTGATTTCTGGAACTTGATGAGGGAAGGAGATTAAATACAAGGTGAGAGGGTGGGTGCTGGGGAGAAGCTTCACAGTTTTCAGCTGAAGCCTGGTACTTGCCTTACAGACAGTTTCTGAGAAGACCAGAATGCGTCCTTTCAAGAACAGCATTTTTTTGCCACAGAGCCTCAGCAGAAGGGATTCAGAATATCAGTGGGGTGTATGGGATGTGCCACTCTCTCCTCTTCCCTCCATGTTAGCATGAGATTTTGTCAGTTAGGGCAGGTGCTGTGATGCTGTCATAAAACTCTGAGTGTGATGCAATAGCTCTAAAAATTATCTGTAGTAAGCATTTCAAAGTGAACAGAAGCATGGTTACAACCAAGAATGAGCCGTGTTTGAAAATGTTAAGAGCAACAGTGGTACAAAAACTGCAGTACATTCAGCAGCCTGTGTGGCTGATCAAAGCTCCTCTTAGCTGTTCATGTTTGATAAAACGTTACAACAAACTGTGGTTACAGTAATTGGTTATCTCATGTATTTGTTTAGAAGTTTTGCTCTATGTTACCGTCTCTTTCAGAGTATGCCCAGGTGATCAAGATGTTAGGCAATGGAAGACTGGAGGCATTATGTTTTGATGGTGTGAAGAGGTTATGTCATATTAGAGGGAAACTAAGAAAAAAGGTAATTCTGAAGCATTGCCAGAGAGAACGGTGGCATTATGCATGATATGTAATAGTAAAAATTTATGTATATAGCTTATTACAAAAGTTAATATTTTTACTGTACTCTTAATAATCTTAAACTTCTTTTTTGAAAGTAAACTAGTTTGTTCTTTTTGTACTGCCAGCACAAAAACAGGCAGTCTTTGGTTTTTGAGCAAAGCTCCCAGTTGAAGGGCTGCCTTTGGATGTGTATATTTCAGGGGAGATTTTTTTGGCTTCTTATGAAATACTAATTTTTCATATTCTAGTAACTTACATGTATATCAAATATTAAAAAGCTCCCCAATTGTCAATAGAGAACTTGATGACCATTTTGAAAATCGGCACGTTATATCAAAGACTAGATCAGTACTTAGCCTAGCATGAGAACTTCTATTAGCATGAAGGTTGACACCCAGCATAGGAAAATAAAGGTGTGAAAGGGTTGTCCAAAGCCACCTTTTTTGTATGCTGTTTCCTGAAACCAGTATGAATCAGGGTTTCATACCCCACTTAGTTTGATCTGGGGCGGAACTGAAGAATTATCTTCTCACTGGGTGACTTACCTGAGACCAGTTCAGTAAGAGTGGCCTGGGACAGTTTCTTTATAGCTTCCCCCAGGCACCTCAGATGCCATCGTTTCGTTGTCCACTTCATCAGTTCCCAAAATACCTTCATGCAAAGGTGATCTGCAAAAGTTTGTACCTTCAGGGACATCAAGTGTATGTGTTTGCGTTCTTAACTTTGCCATCTCTGGATGGTGTCCCCTCTTGCCCTTGTCAGATGTTACAGCTTTGTCCTCTGCTGGTGTATGGTACGGAGGAGGTCCTCTCAGATAGTCCATTCCTAATAAAAGCAGACGTTCACTGTGTTCATTCTGGATTGTTCTACCTGTCTGTTTTTGGAGACCGGTGAATACACGTGTCTTGGTGTCAGTGTGAGCCCCACTAGCTGCCTGCAGTGCACTGCAAAAAACTGTTGAAGGTAATGAAGAATGTGCATAAAGAAATGCTAGGTGCTGCAGAATTAATTTCTTGCTACAGAAAGCATCACTTAGCTATTCCTTGTGTCTAAAAGAAGGGAAATCTCAACTGAAGTATATTTCATCTCCAAAAAATTCAAGCTGCTGTGGGATGGAATTATCTTGTGCATTTAAATTAGCATGTCCTGTTTTGCAGGCTTCTGGCTTTGTTTTGACTGATTAGCATAGTCAGTTACTAGAAACAACTTCATTCTTTTTTTTTATTCTCTTCACTGTGCTTGTTCCATCACCCCCTTCATCAGGTTTTTCTTTCGTTTTTGCCCTGGTGGAACTCAGTTCACAGAGTGGTGGCTTGATGCATTATTTCTGTTTTCTCAGAAGTTATGACTTAATAACCACCTTGTTGGCTGGAAGCTCTTGAAAGAAGATTGATTTACCTTAGCAGTAGCTCCATAACATGTGAAATAACATATCTATGGGTATTTATGACCTTGGTTTTGATGTTAAAATATGAAATTGAGTATTTCTAGTTTTCTGGTTAGAAGGTGAAAATGGTGGCTGTGGTGAAATATTTCATGTCTCTCAGTAAACCTAAATGTGCTGTTTAACTCTTGTGTTACACAACAGAAGTTGAATTCCTGCAGTATAACATATGTTTTCTCTTTCAGGTTTGGATAAATACATCTGATATTATATTGGTTGGCTTAAGAGACTACCAGGTAAAAATTCAGTATAATTTGCCCATGAAGAATATCATACAAACAGCTTTATTAAATGTTAAATTGCAGCAGGTATCATGAGGGAATTTCCATCTAACTTTATTTGAATTTGTATTTAGTTATGCTAAATCATGATTTTTAGTTCTGTTGTGTTACAGAAAGATTGTCAAGAGTAGGTGACAAATCCTGGTTCAACTTGTTCTTCTAAATTGCTGTCTGAGACTTTGTGAGTGAAGGTGCTTATTGGCATCACACCTGACCCTTTATTTCCAGCGTAGCTGTTTGATGATTGGGTCCTGTGACATAAGGGGGATTAAGCCAAGCACCAAACGTTTTGTTGTAGTAAGGAAATTGGAGGGGAGGGAGGAACAAGATACTCTTCTATAAATAATATATCTGCTATTCTTCTATGAATAATACAGATGTTACTAGTCTGCTGAAGTTAATAAGGAGTTATTTTCCTTCACAGATTACTAATAAATTCTAGTAAATTCTTATTTAGGATAACAAGGCTGATGTTATTCTAAAGTACAACGCAGATGAAGCCAGAAGTCTGAAAGCATATGGGGAGCTTCCAGAACATGGTAATCCTTTGATTTTTGAATTGGAAGTTCATATTGGACAAGAATATTCAGTCTGTCTTGAGTTGGTATAAGTGCACTCCTTAACCATTTGAAATTCCTTTTTAGCTAAAATCAATGAAACAGACACATTTGGTCCAGGAGATGATGATGAAATCCAGTTTGATGATATTGGAGATGATGATGAAGATATTGATGACGTAAGTAGTAAATATATATTTTGTATCATACACTTGAAACTGTTGTCTTTGGCAATAAGCTATTTTTCATTTAGAACAAGTGAAATATACGTTGATGTTCAGAATAGCTCACCTTGTCAGGGGCTGCTTCACAAAGTGCCGTGGACACATGCATGCCAGCTTTCTGGTTTCACTTCTGTCCTACAGTCATCCTCCAGCTGACCTCTAAGCAACTAGTACGCTTAGTGTCATACCATTAAAATATCTATGGAGAGCAGTCTTCTCATTCCCCTTCAGATGCCTAAAAATAAAAGTTGTTTGACCCCAAAGACTTATTACATATCAGTGTCCATTCAAACGATTGTGTGTATGGACATGTATACATGTGTGTGTGCACGAGGAGTTGCAGCTACGCGAGTCAGCGACTACATACGTGGATGTAGCTGGGTATGTGCATGTTGAAGGAACCGAATGTCGCCCTCAGCACTGTTCTCTGAAGTGTCAGCTCTGTACAACAAGCTCGTAATGGAAAGCAAAGTAGATGATGCAGGAAGGTTTAGCAGACTAGTAGGATTTCCTTGCGTCCCCTGCCCAGCAGGGCAGGAAGACCTCTCAGGGAGCAGGCACAGGGACTGGTGGGTCAGCTCCTCTGCCACCGAGGGCATCTGTGGCCACATCAGTCGAGGCCGGATGAGCCACAAACCGCTGATGCACACTTACTGCATTGGACACCAACTGCTGGAACGGGTCGCAGGTTATGCAGGTGTTTTGGCAAATTGCATGAACACGCGTGGGTTTCACCTTTCTGATTCCTCTGCAGTTTTAACAGCCTTACCGTCTAATAAAACTACAGAAATAATTGAGGTATTTGTGTTTTTAAAAAATAGAAGACTTTAAAGTCTCCATTTTTGTTTACCTAAAAGTCATAAAAAGCTGCAACATAGCAGTTACGAAAATTAACCGTAATCCTGAATTTACAGATTGTCACAATCAGTTGTGTTACTGCTTGTCACTAAGCTGTAATAATTGACCATGCACACTCTTAAATTGTAGTAGTAAAATTGTTATAATTCAACTTATATAGTAAGTTGCAGACGTAGAATCTTTTGTGAAACGTTTTTGAAGATGATGCACTCTATTTTGCAGTTGAGAGATGAATGTGTGCAGGGCAGGCTCAACTGGCTGCATAAGAAGTAATTTACTGAGCCTGGGAGTTAATTGGATAGACCATTCTAAGTATATTATTATGTTTTAATTCTTCATCTTTTTAGTCCTCTCTCTCTCTGAGTTGGTAATATGACTCTTTAAATGCTTATATTATTTTGGCTTTTTGAGGTTCTCAATGTATGACGCATTAGATCAAATATTCTTAAAATATCAAAATCGTGATGAATTTTTCTTCAGACTTTTGAAAATTGCACTTTGGACCTGCCAGTGGTTGAGCTTTCTGAAGATGTAGCTTACTGAAGCTAGAAACGCTTTCTAGTACCACATGCTTTTAATAAGGAAGCTATTGTAAGACATCAGTGATAAGTAGCTGTAGGAATACTGAAATAATAACATTTGCAAACTGATGGATCTTTGTGTGGGATAATGTATTTAAGTGAGCAGCTATGATTGTTTTTAAGCTTCTGTCAGCTATGCAATATAATATTAATATCATGCTTTAAGAAAGGAAAAGATGTAGAGATAAAATGTGAATAACCTCTCTGAGGATCATCCTAGTCTACATAGAATGAAGTGCAGCTTCCAAGGTCATAGTTAATAGGAAAGACTTGGTGGTACCTTTCTTTTGTTATGTCAGAAGAGTGGTTAGAAAACCATTCATTCTGCTACCAAATTAATTTGGATAGTCACTACTTAGGGAAGTTACCCTTCAACTTCGTTTTGTTTTATGTGTAATTATATTGGCAGAGTTGCTCACCTGCATAACTACAGTATCGTAATAGTGGTGAGGGGGGCGTAAGAGGAAAGTAATTGTTCACATGTTAAGAAAATGGGATACGAGCCGAGGCAAAACCAGTACTGTATTGCGTTCAGGAAGTCTCCTCTTGAACCATAAAACCAGCTTAAAACCAGAGATGCTTGATTAAAAAATGCATGTGAATTAAATACATGGTGTGGTGTTTTTGCTTTTCAGATCTAATTTGGAACAGAGGTTTACATTCCAACTTTTTTCCTCCAAGGATTGTTCTACATTGATATTTCGATTATTTTTTGGGTGAAGTCCCTTTCTTTTAAGAAGACTGAAAATTCTCGGTAAAGAGTGTAGTTTGTTACATCAAAAGGATTTATTTTCAATGTTTGTTTTAAAGTATTTATATTTCTTTAGAAACGGATAATGCTGGATTATCACAAAGGTTCAATGAAATGCCACAAATATTTTGTCTCCTCACCAGTTAGAGCCTTTACCTCTGGATGTAAGTGAGATATGATGACATGGGCTGTAAAAGACTGCATTTTTCCCTCTTCTGCTTTCATCACTACAATTCCACTTAAACTTGTATTTTGAAATAAAAATTGTTTACCCTGTAATTATCATGGATTTTGATTAAATACAAATACCCAGTTCAGATTAGTATCAAATCATACTATGCAGTGTCTGTCCTTATACCCCTTGCCTTGATGTTAACTTTAAAAAGATTTTGATAATATAAAAGGAAGGCAGAAATCTGCATTTAAATTCATAATGCATGATGAATCTGCTTTTCATGTCTAGTAGCATGCTGCTATTTTTATACTGATTTTGATAATTAAAGACACTCATTATTTCAAAGATGTAAATTTGCCACAGTGGAGGGGTAGAGGAGAAGCAAAGATAAAAAGCAAGCAGCATCTCAAATTTGCAGTTGTTGAAAGCTGTCTTGTGCACGTAGCTCTTCTGTGTTGCAAGTACAGTAGTCACGCTGTAGTTGCAGAAGATGAACGCTGGGTGGCACCCAACTTAACAAGAATACATTACTACAAAACATTAACAGTTGGGTTTGTACTGAAAAATACGTAAAATAGTTTTTCCCCAAAGTGAATGCTTAACATTCTTGATACGTTAAACATGTAGAGTATTTTTACATTATAGAAAAGGTTATGTTAAGAGTAGAGTTTTATTTTAATCTTAAATTCCATACATTGTAAGGTACAACATTAAAGCTTATGTGATGAACTTTGAATAACAATATAAATGAGAAAATAAATTTGTGTCAAACGTAGGAAAAGAATCTTTTCATCCAGAATAAATCACTGAAACAAACTAATGGAAAGATTCTTTTCTACCTTCAGACTGGAGGAGTCAGTTAAGAAGCTGAATAAAGACTAACATCATCATGCAAATATTATTTTGTGGTAGCCTTAGTTTCTTTGTCTTCAATTATGTATTTAACAACTCTGAAAGCAGGTTAATGGAAAACTTTTGTGCCATAAAAATCTGATTCTTGACACTTGTATTCGTTATACAGTCTTTTTGGTATGATGTAAAGTGACTACCCCAATAGATAAAAACAAAATGGCTTTAAATATGGAGTGGCCTCATTGCTTTGCATGATTTGTAAGGAGGAGTTCTGTGCTAGATTTGAACTTCAGAGCTTTTGCGAAAATGTCTTTTACTTTCTTCTTTCATTATAGTGTCTGTTTTCCTTACATGGATCTGGTATCTTATTCAAGGGATAATGGTTTTTTAGTATTAAGTAATTTTGCCAGTTGCTTCATGGGGTTTAAATACTTGTTGTAAAAACTTGCTACGTGTGGGGAAAAGAAACTCCAATACATCATTTTTACTTCACTGATCTTAGAGTATATTAATTTACTGTCTTTGTATGCCTGCGAGGTTCAGTTGTGATGAAACATAAATCCTATAACGTTTCCAGATAAGGTTTATAAACCATTCCATAGCTCATTGGTTTCCTCAACATATTAAGCAGAACATGAGCAGCTCTGAAAACAGTTAAAAGCTCTCAGAACTGATCTTGAGGTCCAAGCACAGATGATGTCTGTTCTTTCAGTTGTGCTAGCTGGAAGGTTAATGATTAAATTACAATGAATGTTTACTAAAGGTACAGATATTATGGAAATTATACTTGCCAAAACCAATCTCGTATGTGTGGGGGGAAAAAAGCAAAGTGCATGGTCAGTGGTAAGGAGAAATGCCAAGGAATACACTGCTGTTGTGAGGAACTTACATCCCTGCACCAGAGTTCTCCAGCATAACAGAGACTTCAACTGCGGGACAAAGATGAAACTGTTCCTGGCAGAATTGGTGATGGTTTGCCCTGAGGTTCCCTCCAGTATTTACTGCTCCCAGGCTGGGGTCTGCCTCAGCCTAAACTCTGCAGAGTTTTTAAGGGAATTTCCTATTTAATTTCTTACTAATGCTCTGGCTCAACACCATCTGGTTTCTACTTCCATGCTAGGCTGCGTTGCCTTCCTTGAATACATTTCCTCATCTTGTTTCTCTATCCACTGCTAAAGCTCCTTTCGTAGCCCGATCTAGGCAGCTTTACATTGTCCCTTCTCACTTCTCGTCTTTGAGGGGAAAACCAGCTTGCACAAGTAGCTCTTTTTGGCATCTCCTTGCAAAGAACAGTGGTAGAACAGCAGCTGCCAAGTAGACGACTGCAAGATTGCTGGCTGTAAAGCCTCTCTAAGAGTATTTTCTAGATAAATTTTCAGTAATTCTTGTTTAACTTTTGGAGCGGCTGCTGGCTTTTTACCAATAGTGTAAAATTGAAAATAGGAATTCAAAAATTAATTTCCTGCAACGAAAATGTATACTTGTGTTCTCCAAGATGCTTCCCATTTGAGGCCTTCTCTGTGTAAAACTCTGAAACATTATTTTTGTTAATTGTTAAATCTTTATCCCTTCACCTTATAATAGGGGCAGCTGTGCATTTGGTTGGAGAGCCCTAATGCTTTTCTACCCTAATCCTTAGTGGATACACTAGATAGTCCAGACACACTACTTCGAAGAAAAGTATTGTTAAAAAAAAAAAAAACAAAGCAAAACAAAAACCTTTCCTTACGCAAGAGGAGGAGGTAACCCATGATCGTCGAGCTCTGTGCCATTTACTTGTTACTACAGCTAGCTTCGGGCCGTGCTGTGTGTGCTAGCATGCATGCAGGTGGTACTGTGGGCTACTGCCATGCACACCCGTGATCCCTGCCATACAGATCCATAGGGTGCCATGTGCACGTACGCACACGCACGTGCTGAGCGTGGACTATACAGCCTGGTCGGGGTGAGGCTGGCACAGCGATCGCTCTGTCACCTGAGCGATGTCCCTGTGTGACACTGGGCTGATGGCAGAGGGTGACGGGTTGCTCGGAGCGGGACCCCCCTGCGCTCCTGAGCCGGTTCTGCCGGGTGAGCGGCCGGGACTCGCGGCCCGTCTGCGGGGTGAGCCGGGGCTGGGACTGCTGCTGCCTGAGGCCCCCGGGTGGGAAGGCAAATCCTGCTCCCAGGCGGGCTGGGGTGTCAACGGTTCCTGCTGTTGAGCAGTTTCCAAGCTAAACCGTAAGTATTTGCTGTTGCCAGACGTGAATAACGTGGGGCTCAAATACCTGTATCTCATGGTTCACCAGAGGAGTCAAGCCTAGCTTTTTGTCTGCGGACACTGCTGTCCTATAGGTAGTCTGACTGCTTCATAGAAGTGAGGACTTGCGAGTTAAAATAAGTACAACCCTTTGGGAGGTGTGTGGGAAGAGGGAAGTATTATCTGAAACAATCTTGGAGTGGTCTGAGTGCAGCTTTATTTGTCCCTTTAAACTTGAGGCTCGTTGCTGGCTTTTGTGAGGTTAGCTGTCGGCAATGATTTCTCATTTTGATACCTAACAATGAATCTTCAGAATTTATTTCTCAGGCTATGTATGCCCTTCCCTTTGGTGAAGAAAGGAAAAAAGCTGAGTGGGAAGGAGGCCTTTCTTTATTATTTTTTTATCACAGCAATCATGAGTCAGAGTCCCTATTGATCAATTCAGGTTGCTTCTGCTATATCTTGCGCATCAAATTTAATGCTGAAGATCAACTTGTTTATTATAAAATCCAGTCTCAACCAAGTAGAGAGGCAAGCTGAAACAGTGAGTACCTTCATGTAGTAATTCCATCTGGGAAGTGGGTACTAGCAGCAGGGTACCACTAGAAGCATCTAAAGACTGGCTTCTCCTTTTAAGTGCTTGTTTGCTCCTGGGCCGTGATTGGGATCCAGATGTTTTAATTACACCAATTATGTTTTGAGACTTTCCTTTAGAGGCTTAGTGGGACAAAAATACTTAAAAAACCCCATATAGATGAGACTCTGTTGTTTGTCCTATGAGTTAGCTTTTCTTCATGCTTTTTCCAATGTGTTTGTAGACCAAGAGGACACTTGCACCGCAGTTTTATATCCAAGCTGTCAGCTCAAGAAAGGAAAGCTTAATCAGAAGCTGAAAGAGACTTGTTACCAGTTAAGGGGCCTATTACTGCATCACCTGCCTAGCAGTGAATTCTCTTGTGAAGTACTTTTACTGTGTTGTAGGCACTCATTCTTCCCTCATGTACACGCGAGTAGCTCGTATTTGTGTCTCTAGGCTGTGATGGTGTAGGAGTGTCTTCTGCGGTCACTAGCATCTGTGTTCCTTAATCAGCCCTGCTCTTCTTTATGGTTAAAATAATTAATTTTACTCCCAATTGAGGAAGATCAGCAGCAAAACACCTTTGCGTGCTTGGCCTCTGGAGGGAGCAGACAAGCAAAAAACCAAACTGACCTTGGCAGATTAAAGCAAGCAGATTGCCTCAACTTCTTGGTTGAAAGAGTTTCTACGGCTGGGTTTCGCGGACTCTGCAGTGCCCGTTGTCTGCAAGAATTATTGCCAGCAATGGAAATACTTAAGGTTATTTTTGTTTTAAGGTTTTTGAAGTAGGTCGCCTTCTTCCTAAAGAGCAAGCTGATTCAAGCACGGGCTGAGGTGCAAGCCCGTCGCTGGCAGCAACCCGTGATGGGTACTGCTGTTCCCATCGGCAGTAAAGGTAGCAAAGAGGAGCAGATACACTGGAGGATCCCCGTGGGAGACCCAGACCTGCATGGGTTACATACGTTTCACCATCAGTGGTACCTGCTATCAGGGAGGATTCAGCTTTGTGACAATCCTTAAGACAGTGACAGGACTCTGCAGTTACTGTGTTTAATCTCTGTGCTTAGAGGGGAAAGCCAAGTGCTGCAAAGCACTTGAGGAGACAGCTTCTGACTTACAAGGCTTTAAAACAAATTGTAGTAGACAGTCATGGGGTGTGGACAAAGATGCATTAGCGAGGTTTCTGAGAAGAATGTTACCCTTTTGCTGCCCGACCCAGTGTTGTGGTTTACCCGGCCGGCAGCCAAACACCACGCAGCCGCTCACTCATCCTCCCCTACCCTGGAAAATGGGGGAGAGAATTGGAGGGGTAAGGGTAAAGAGACTCATAGGTTGAGATAAAACAATTTAATAATTGAAATAAAATAATAATGACAATAATAGTAGTAATAATAGAAAATACAAATGAGTAGTGCACAGTGTGATTGCTCACCACCTGCTGCCTGGTACCCAGCCTGTTCCCAGCTAGCGATCCCAGAGAAACAAGAATCCCGAAACTGCAATCCTTGCAGTGAGAGCCGGCTTCCAGGTCAATGCTCATCTCTATACCGAGTGTGACATTGCGTGGTGTGGAATATTCCACTGGCCAGTTTGGGTCCATTGCTCTCGCTGTGCTCCCTCCTGCCGCCTTGTGCACCTGCGCATGGGCAGGACACAGGGAGTTGAAAAGCCCTTGATTTCTTAGCAACAACTAAAACCATCAGTTCATTATCAACATTCTTCTCATACCAAATCCCATACTGAATCCAAATGACAGCACTATTCTAGCTACTAAGAAGAAAAAAATAGCTCTATCCCAGCTGAAACCAGGACACCCAAAGGAAGGATGTCTGCTGCTCATGACTGAAACTGGAAATGTATACAGAAGCTACAGTGGTTAAAGCTGTAGTCCTAGAGACCTGCCGAGAAGCCCAAGACCCTGAAAAGGTGTGGAAGATGTTGCCTCCTGAGTCTATGGACAGCAACTGTCCCAACTTGCCTTGTCGAATTGCTGTGGAATCGGTCTGGGATATTAATTATCAACTGATGCAGCAGGTAGCTGACCAGAGGGACTCTTGCAGCAGCTCAGTCATAGGGACCCTTGTGTCTTGCGCAGATAACAAGAGGCAGCTAGGTCCTGCGTTTTGCTGAAAATGGCAGAAATAGCCAATAACTGTGTAGTGTGTGACAGAATATACAGAGATGGATCTTCAGACTGCCGATATAACCTCACAGTTCTCTGCTGCTAATTGACTGCAGCGTAAAAGCCTGAATAGAAATGAGAAGGAAGAAGCCACAGATCATTTGTTAGGGTGTATAGCGATAAGTTTCCCCTGGATTTGGTAAATAGCTTCTTAAGCTCTGGAGAGGTGGTGTTTAGACTTTTGTAGCTGTTAGCCTAACCAGAAGGACCTGCATCTATTGATTTTAAT